ATTAGTGCTGTCAATCGATAAAAAAATGTGTACTAATTAATTGCACATTTTTCTGAAATTAATTGCGATTAATCCCACCTAACATTAAAGTTTTTAAATATACTTTTATATTGCAATCATTTCACATTTCAATCTTCAAATATTTGTAATATTTGTTTAATGGCATATTTTTTATGACTGAAGGCCAGAATCAATGATACCAATACTGATTTCTAAGACTGTCAAAAAAATAAATTTGAATTTCAAATATTCGTCGAATTTAAAATAAAAATCCACATTCGAATGCAAAAACGTTGCATTCTAATTTTAGGTGTGCGTTGAGGAGGCAGCCTTATCAGTGGTGCATGAGATGCGATGACGATGTAAGTGTCGTTGCATTATAATGTTTTTGTTAGCCTATCCAGTTGAAGCCACTAGATGCGGCGCTACTGCGTTGTTCATTAAAAATTTTGCGGAAAATATAGAACATAAATGCGGAGAAGATCTGATGCAAAATGAGCAAATTTCATCAACATCAAAACATTTACAGATAGATTAATTAATCATGTCGTTCATATCTTTTAAGTTGTTGCGCTTGTTATTACGTCGTAAATCATATGATAACGTCAACATGGCGGATGATGTCCGGATCGCATTCATACTTCACGAGATTTGCAGGGGTTAAAGCAAAAAAAAAAATCCTGAGCCTGAACTTTTTTCCGGGGGTTGCGGGGGCAGACACATACACAGGGTTATTTGGCAAACAAAAAAAGAAAATTTGTTTCCTTGAAACTAACTAGTAACGTATCTGCCATTGCCATTACCCCTTGACAGGCTCAGACTACAGATTATGGTGGGATATTTGAAACAGCAATACCAAGAATGTTTACTCACTATGGTGCAAACACATGTAACATTTAGGATGCTTTTGATATCAAGTTTTGCTGGTTGGCTTTGTTCTTTACAGGGTACAAGATGACCTCCAGTATTGTTTTTTTTAAGGCATGGTTATAAAAACTACTTAAATGTCCTAATTGAACTATTGCCTAATCCTGGCTTAACCTAAGCCCTGTCTGTGAAACCAGGCCAATATATCCAAAACCACTGCATAGATGCATGTTCATTTTATCAGACGATGTCACAATTATAAATCAGGATTCAAGGAGTAAAGTGAGAGTGACTCATGGCTAACATGTATTATCCTCGTCATCCTCCTGAGCCCCTGTCCTACCTCCTGAGTTGGACTATACAGAATAGATTCTGGTAAGAAACATTGTAAGAAAAGATATGAGTCATGATAAATAAGAAAAACAAATACAACACTCTTCAGTCTCACTATAAATGTTAATTTTTGCTGCATCAGAATCAGAATCAGAATGAGCTTTATTGCCAGGTATGTTTACACATACGAGGAATTTGTTTTCGTGACAGAAGCTTCCACAGTGTAACAGAATGACAGTGACAGAACAAAAAACACAGATAATAAAAAATAGAACAAGTAAATAAGGAATAAAAATATATAAATTGACAGTTGTATGTGCAGGTATATTACAATAGACAGTTTTTGTATGTACAGGTACTGTATATTATGTGCAAATTTGAGGTGTAGACTGATTATGAGTGTTAGATAAATAAGTGTATGAGTGAATAAATAGTGTGTGTTCCACAGTTATTGTTAAGTGTTCATTAGATGGATTGCCTGAGGGAAGAAACTGTTCCTGTGTCTGGTCGTTCTGGTGCTCAGTGCTCTGTAGCGTCGACCAGATGGCAACAGGTCGGTATAAGATTAACCAAACAGTGATCAGAGAGCCCCAAAGCTGCTCGTGGAACAGAGTGATATGTATTCTTTATTGTGGTGTAACAGTGATCCAATATATTACTGTCTCTGGTGGGACATGTGATGTGCTGTCTGTATTTTGGCAGTTCACGGGAGAGATTGGCTTTATTAAAGTCCCCGAGAATGATTAAAACAGAGTCCGGGTGTTGTTGTTCTGTGTCTGTGATCAGATCTGCGAGTTTCTGTAAAGCGGAGCTCACGTGTGCTTGCGGAGGAATGTACACACTGACGAGAATGAACGAGCAAAACTCCCGCGGCGAATAGAACGGCTTGCAGTTAATGAAGAGCACTTCTCGGTCTGAACAGCACATCTTCTTTAACACAGTTACATCTGTACACCACCTCTCATTGATGTAAAAGCATGTCCCGCCGCCGCGCGATTTCCCCGTTGATTCTTCGTCGCGATCTGCTCTGAAAAGCTGAAAGCTCAGAAGACTCAACGCGCTGTTTGGAATGGCGTCTTTCAGCCAGGTTTCCGTGAAACACAGAGCAACAGAGTTTGAAAAATCCTTATTTGTCCGGGAGAGCAGAAGAAGTTTGTCCATTTTGTTGGGTAGAGAGCGGAGGTTCGCCAGATGGATGCCTGGCAACGGCGTTCTGAATCCGCGCTGTCTGAGCTTCACGAGCGCGCCGGCTCTCTTCCCCCGTCTGCGTGTCCTGAAGAGCTTGATCAGCGCCACAGCTCCGCCAACAACAATGTCCAGCAAAACATCAGAATAATCAAAAACTGGTGAAATATCGGGTGGTGTGTACTTCCGAATGTCCAGCAATTCATCTCTGGTGAAACTGATTGCAGGGATATAACTGAAGACAGGACAAACTAACTAAAACATAAAAACAACTGCGGAGCACACCACAGAGGCAGCCATCAGCGTTGGCGCCATCGTCGGTGCATCATGAAATAAATCAGGAATCTTCTTTTGAGAAATAAGCAGTGGTGTATAAAGTACCTGAAAGCCATACTCAAGTAAAAGTACAGATATCTTACCAGAAAATGACTTTGGTAGAAGTTGAAGTCACCGTTTAGAATATTACTCGAGTAAAAGTCTTAAAGTATGTGATATTTATTGTACTTAAGTACATTTCAGATTAAAAAAATACTTTTCATACTTAAGTATTGAAAGTAAAAGTACAAGTAAATGCAAAATGGAAAAGATTGTGTTCAGTTTTAACTTTTTCTTCCATTTTGTATTTTTGGGTAAGAATAAGAAGCACTTTTTCCGGTACTTAGTGTCTTTCATTCCAACATAAGGAAACATTTCTGGAATCTGCATCTGAAATAGCATTTAGATGTATTTACACACTTTATGGTTTACAGTTGGATAAATAGGCCAAATGTTTTGTTTTTAACATAAAACGTTGAATACTGATATTTGAAATAATTTAAAACATGAAAAAAAAGTCGAAATGTGAAATTAAAACCGCCAGTAGGTGACAGCAAGTGACTGTTAATGAGTGAGTCATTGAGATTCAACCGACTTCATTCAAACGACTGATTCATTTAGAAACAAAGCATTTGACTGTTAATGAGGGAATCACTGAATCATTTATTCAACCGATTTGTTCAAAAAGCTTATTCATTCAATAAGTAAACACCGTCCATTGCTCAGAGACGCAAAACAGTGCTGTGATCTTTGTTTGGAACTACTTTCGTTAGCAAAATTGAGCAAAAACAAGCAATATTATGTCTAAAATGTAAGTCACTTACTGCTTTACTGAACTTGTATAAAATTATTAAATGTGTTAATGCTGATATCTCAGAAAAACAGTACTCTGTGTGATATAGATTACGTTAACTATTTTAAATTATATAAATATAAAAAGCATACAGAAGCATTTTTGCCGTCTACAATTTCGAATGCCTTGAATGAATTGAGTTTTAACAGACTAATAAATCAACGTGCGTGCACTCTGTGTGTGTGATTTGGTGATATAGCCTACTTGATAATGTCAGATCGCACATCATTACAACAACACTTACCATATTATCGCAGACGATGCTGTATCGCACGCCCCAGACTCAACTTGATTGGAAAATGAATCATCCGCGGTTGTGTGCGCACTTGTTTGCACATGAGCAAAGGTGTTTTTAGGAGCCTAACTTGCAAACTCCAGACCACTGATTCGTCAAACCTGCTTTACTGCAGTCCGTGTTCTTCTGACTATTTTGTAACGAATATGCTTTGGTGAAATGTATCGGAGTAAAAATAAACATTTTAATTAGGAAATATAGTGAAATATAAAAACAAGTAAAGTACAGATACTCCCAAAAAATACTTATTTCCAGTGGTGTAATGTAACGAAGTAATAAGTATATATAAATATATTTATTAAGCATCTATAACATGCGAGTTAAAAATGGCTCACTGTTTGGCAAGTATTTCATTAAAATCACCCTTTTTATTCATCCATTTATAACTGCTTATGAATGATTTGTAATGCATTTGTAAATGAGTTATTAGTCATTTATGAACATCTTTATAAACCCTTCATAAAAGGGAACCTTAATGTAAAGTGTTACCAAAAATAATACTTTATTTTCAAATGAAGTGTTCCATGAATTCTGTAGTTTCCGTATACTCTGACTACATTTCATTTAAACGAAGATGGTGGCAAATAGCTATTGTAAATGGAGATGGAAGGCTAATATGAACCCTTTTCCATGTTGCAGTTTGTGACAGACTCACTGAGCACTGAGAACCAGGCACCATTACAGACACCATTTTGGTGGAAAAGAGGTAACAAAAAGTCAGCCAAAAAGTTATGTATTTTTATTTTATTAATGATAAATTTATAATGACAATGGCAACAACAACAATAATAATTAACATTTTTAAAATACTATTTACATAAGGGGTCACCATATACAGTATGTAAGTAATACTGCCAGACACAGATATTACTGGCTCAAACCAAGGCACCAAATGCTACCAGGGTTTGGCATGCTAAGGCATTGAGGGACCATGCAGACAGCAGGCTCTAAACCTGGACCAAAAAATAAAATATACAGAAATCAGAGTTATTGTCTACATACATTATAATTAGAAAATAAATTTGGCTTTAGATTTCTTCTCGTCACGATAAACAATCATTATTATAAAAATAAAATAAAAAAAAATCTTTGTAGCACAGTACCTTCAACCATTCATGTGAAAGGATTTCCCCCAAATCAATCCGCTGGCTTGGGCTTTCATTCAGTAGGGACCGAATCAGGTGGCAGCATTCTGAAAGAGAGGAAGAGATAAGGGAGTCAGATTATTACCTTAAACTACTCTTTGTATTAAGCTGTAAGATCTGACCATTCTACACTGTACAATCAGAAAAAAAAGTATTTTATATACTTTTATATAGCCACTTGGCTTGGGTGTTACTTCTCCCTCTTTGTTTCCTTGTTTTGCATGATTTCAATTACAGTTGAACACTTCTTTGTTGTGATGAATGACATCTTACCATTCGACAAGTCAGGCTTAAACCACACACCGTAATCAATCGACTCGGTGTCTTTGGGTTCTGGGAAGTCTCCACACACCAACAAGAACAAGAGCATTCCCAGAGACCATACAGTAGTTGGTTTCCCGTGGTACTTGTGGTCCACGTAGTACTCAGGTGGGCAGTACTCTGGTGTGCCTGAAGGAAAGAGATTTTGCCTTGACATAAGCTTGAAATACTACAAATGGTTTTATTAAATACAAAAACAAAAAAAACAAAATGCTGCTTCAAAAGCGAGATATGGTCTACAGGATACCAATTAAACTCTTTACTTGAAGTTAAGTCCCAAACTACAGGTGTGATGCATGATACATACCACAACATTGCTCATAGCCGGAGTTTTGCAGGTTGATCAGGAGGTTCTCCAGCTTTATGTCCCGGTGAAATACTCCTTTGTTGCCTGTGCCATGATAGACCGTGCTGTGTCCTCGCTGACGAAGCCTCCCTGAAGCTTCGTATAATCCCACAGATCTTTGCAGGGTGACGGGCGTTCCAAGACCATGATGTAACGTTCAGGCTGTTCCTGCCAGTCTAGCAGCTGAATGATCTCTGGAACTCTGGACTCCTTATTAACAAGGAGTAAAAGGCCGACCGCTAACGAAAGGGGTGCGGGATGACCAGGCTAGACGAAAGATCATTGTTAGATAGAACTTCTTTCCCAAGTAAGGACTTTAGTCCAGTCTTGGACAAAAATGTTGTCAGTATGTTTGCTCAGTGAGCATAGCCTACTATAACGTAGATGTATTTCATGTTCCTTGGCTTGTTGGCAATTTTCACTGCCACCTGAACGACAATAAACATTTATTGCATTTACAACATGGCAAGAGCACGAATATACACCGAGATGACTTACAATGGAACCAGTGAGACAAAACAATGGAGTTAAATATTGTAAGAACATGACAGTACCTCAAGGCCATTCTCCAAGCGAATCGTACCTCACCAAGTATTTTGCCGATTTCAGACCAGCTCAGAATTTAATCTGATAAAAGAGTAACAAAAATAGATGTGTAAGTCGTGGCCTAATGGTTAGAGAGTCGGACTCGTAACCCAAAGGTTGTGGGTTCGAGTCTCGTACCGGCAGGGATTGTAGGTGGGGGGATGTACAGCGCTCTCTTAAATGGCTGCCCACTGCTCCGGGTGTGTGTTCACGGTGTGTGTGTGCGCACTTTGGATGGGTTAAATCACTAATAGCACTAATTCCTAGTATGGGTCACCATACTTGGCCACATGTCACGTCACGTAAACTTACCCTCCGTTGTCAAGTCAACACTCTGCTGTTGTGAGCTGATGCTGTGGTGGACTGAAGCTGGAGGGCTTTGAACCTGCTGATCTGCAGGAGGAAGGTCTTCAAGATTACTGGAAAGAGGTTCCTCTAGATCAGTGGTTCTCAACCCGTGGGCCGCATGCACATAGAACACATAGGCCTACAAACAAGAATAGTCGCAGTATTAGTAGTGTAGGTAAGAGTGCTGGACTTTCGGTTTGCCCACCACTCACTAAAAGTTTCTCATTTAATTTTCTACCTGTTAGATTGTGTTTTATTAACGTCTACACCTACTTCCTTCTACAGCATTTATTAATATTAGTTAACTTTAATTTCAGCATTCACTAATGCATTATTCAAATGACAAGTTGTGTTTGTAAACATTAATGCACTGTGAACTAACATGAACAAACAATGAATGAACAACTGTATTTTTATTAAATAATGTTAACAGACAAAATCGTATCTTCATTGTCATTGCAATATGAACATGTTATTTAGCAATGGGCACTGAAACGTGCACCGAATTCAGCACTCAACAAAACTCTGGCGTTTCAGAGATGACTCATCTGAATGCCTTTGATTGGCCATTGCATTAATAAACTCAATGGAATCGTATGTTATTGGTTGTAATGCTCACCGCTGTAAAAACAAAAAAAAATATTTAGTTTTATTTGTTGGCCCTAATATGCACAGTTAATTATTCATTTATTTATCACAAGTAATCATCATTGCAAAAAAAAAAAAACTCTTATCACACGTAGCAGAATTTCCTCATATCATGCAGGACTATTAGAAAGGCAAAATCAATGCAAATCAGTGGATATGTCTGCTATAATAGGATAGGTATGTTAAGGCCAGTTGGAGCTAAACTCTGCAGGGCATTGGCCCTCTAGGATCTAGTTTGGAGACCCCTGTCCTACAGAGTTGTTACTTTGCACATGCTTTTTGATCATTACAAATAATAATGTAAAATGATTTTCTTAGAATAGGAGATATGCTGTCTCTCGCATCACATACAGTATCAATAGTTAAGTATGTGGTCTTGAAGATGATCCTTTTTTTCCCCTCTCATTTGGACTCGGTCTTGACTTGGACTCAAACTTTTGGACTCGGTCTTGACTTGGACTCGAACCTCTTTGGACTCGGTCTCGACTAGTCCTGGTCTTGGACTCGACAAAGCTGGACTTGACTACAGCTCTAATGTCGCATGTCTTACAGACTGCAACTTACAATCGCAACTTCATTGTGCGGTTACTCCTTTCGAGCTGAATTTCACAAAATTGGTCAGCTCCTGACAGCATCAGATGTTTTATTAATGGTGAGTAGAATTATTTATTTCAATGAAAGTAATCAATTAGATATCATAATATTTAGGCTGCAATGTTATAAATCTGGTTGGTTTGTATTGTTGACGTAATATGTAAATAATATGCGTGCGGCCCGTGAGACTTGCACTAGGACCATAATGCGGCCCAGTGGAAAAAAAAGGTTGAGAACCACTGCATATATGAGAAATATGATCTAAAGATGGGAATAACAAACAGAAGTATGTTTTAAACAAATAATTTATTTAATATTGCATTCTCACATTAGGACCATTTTTCAGGTACTACATGAAATCTCAAATTAAAACTTCTTCAAACCAGGTTTCATATTTTTTGAAGATTTATGATATGTCCTGCAATAAAAAAAAAAAATGCTACCATGACTCACCGAATTTTTGGATTTTGAAAAAATATGATTGTAGATATATGGCAGTTAAGGACACTTATTAATTAGGGGGATTTTTCTGTTCCCAAAGCTTGAGTTAGATTTCCAATAATGTATACTCCTATCTAGCTGAAGCGTATCTTAATTTTATTTTTTTAATGTACAGAGCTTTAGTAAACTTTTACACATTCCCAACTGGTCATTTGGTTTACCTTCAACTTGATCTCTCATATATCATTGCCTGGTCTGAGCCACTGCTCCATTTAATGGATTTAAGAGACAGCAGCTTCTCAAAACTCTCTGTCCTCCTTTTCTTTCTCATTGGCATCTCATGCTCTTCACCAGCACCAACGGGCAGATTGTTCTCCGCAGCATTGGTGCTGGATGTTGGTGGTCTACTATGATGGGAGTAATACAACTGATCGCTGAGAGAACATTGCTTTCTCTTTCGCGCAAAAGATCCAGGCCAATCTTTTGTAGGCCCCTGTGTGGCCCCCTGTGCATCTTGACCCCACCTACATGAGTATAAGTGTTGTGGCCCCATGTTACAACCACCTGGCTCTGGGTGAAGTAACATTACCAAAAGGGGAGGCCACACAGAAGACTTAGGTTTAACAAATAACTTGTATTATTTGATTTATTCTTGATTAAATGTTTAAGTAGGAGTATAAAAGAAAGAAAGAAAGAAAGAAAGAAAGAAAGAAAGAAAGAAAGTAAACAAACAAACAAACGAAAACAATCCAGGGCTGGAGAGGGAAGAAGAACGGCAGCCCAGTCCAGGTCTCCACTGCTCTCTGAATCTCCGTCTTTTAAACCCAAACGCCAATCACAGGTAACACTCCACACCTGTACCTGCTGCTCGCTCTGAAAGAGAGGCAAAACCACGGAACACCACCACCTAGTGGACAAATATTAGAAAGAACACACTGAGCCGTAACACCTCCCCCTCTTAAAACAGAGGCCCCTAAAAGGGAACTCTGCAGACCCAAATACTACTATAAAACCAAAAAAATATATATAAAAAAAAACACACAATCACACAAGTTTACCTCCAACAGTCATAATTTGTGGACTGTCATACAAAGTCACATACCCCCCGTTCTTTTCATCACCTACCTCAACTCCATTGTTCAGTATCTTCAGGCACCTTAAAAACACTAAACAATTAAAGAACCACGGTCAAGGGCAACCAACACTTACAACAGTTTGTTTTACTCATCAACCGGAGAACGGGACAAGGCATCCGCCATAACATTATCCCGCCCTCGAATATCTAAACTGTATGGTTGTAATAATAGAGCCCAACGGATAAGTTGCTGATTAGGACTTCGCAAAGATTGTAAAAACGTGAGCAGATTGTGATCTGAAAACACAACTATAGGCATTGAACCACCCCCCCACATACACATCGAAGTGCTGCAACACCCACACCAAAGCCAACGTTTCTTTCTTAATCATAGAGTAATTTAGTTGATACAAGTTAAACTTCTTAGAAAAGAAACTAACTGGCTGATCAACTCTCACCCAGCTTGCATCTACTTGGATCTGAAACACTCGATCCCACCGGGGCACAACTAGGACAATCTCATCAACTCCTTTTTAGTAGTAGGAGCTGGGAAACCATCATCAGCACGCACCTTCTCCCATACTGTACGAACCTCCCCCTGTCCCACTACTTTACCCAATAAGTTACGGTAGCTCTCACGAATTCACACTTCGCTAAATCGATAGTCAACTTGGCTTCTACAAGAGGAGTAAACAAGGCACGCAACCCACAAAGCTGTTCCTCCCACGTCTGACTGTACACCACGACATCTAGATACACAGCACATCCATCCAGCCCTGAGACCACAAGATTCATCAGGCGCTGGAAGGTAGCCGGAGCGTTTCGATGGCCGAAACTCATAACCTTGTTAGATTACAGCCCTGATGGTGTAATAAATGCAGAAACTTCTTGTGCTTGAGGGGTTAAAGGGACCTGATAATACCCCTTTAAAAGATCAATCTTAGTTACAAACTTTGCTGAGCCTACAGAATCTATGCAATCCTCCACCCGTGGAAGTGGAAAAGAGTCAGGCTTCGTCACGCTATTTAACTTTCTATAATCAGTACAAAATCTGTACGTACTATCAGGTTTTTTAACCAGAATGCACGGTGACACCCAACTTGAATAGGAGGGTTGCGCA